GGTGCTCAGGGGACCATATGGGATGCTCAGTCAGCAAGGCAAATGCCCCACCTGCTGTACTATTTCTCTGCTATCTTCCTGCTTCCGTTTTGTGTCTCTCTCCTTAAAAGTCCTCAGTTCTACCTCATGCCACATTCCTTCATCTTGTCTCCTACTCCTCTGGAGATTATAAAAGGGACAGAGACTACCAAATATAATAGATCTCCCACAACAGACACATTCTCAAATCTAGTACCTAAGAAGATCAAGGAGAGAGGATCAGGGCCTCTCAGATTATCACGCCTCTGAGTGTCACACAGGATTCACCTTCAGAACTTGGCAACTCCCGATGTCCAGATTTCACTTCAGATGAGCCGACTCCCTGGCACCCAGGCAACTCTTGAAAACTCACTAGGTTCATTTCCGTGTTTAGTAAACTTTGAGTCTGTCTAATGTGGTAGATTCGCTGTGGCCAGACACCTCTGTCTTTCCGTCACCTCTACTCTTTCCTGGGTGGGGCTTTCTAATGAGATCTCCACTCAGTGAGTGGAGGGAACTGGGGACATAGGTCCAGGGTAGGAGCTCATGCTTGAGGCCCCGCGTTTGATTCCAGACTCTGCTTGTCTGGCTCTGAGCACGTGGGGGGGGGGGCGGGGGGTATAACCCTGGAGGCCATAGGACCCCTCCACGATGGCCCTGGTAAGCCCTGGTAACTCCCAGCACCAGATACCAGCACTGTGGCCTCTGGGTACCCCCTCTCCAGAAACAGTGAGCTTGGTTAATCCTCACAGTTGCCCTTTTCTGAACCTGAGGCTAGCTAAGCCTCCAAGAGTGTTTTGCTAGTGATCAGCATGTGTTATTGCCCAGAATGAAGCCTAGCAAACCAGGGAGTGAGCAAACCTGCAGTTCCCTTTGTTGTCTGCTTTTGCCTCCTTCCCTGGATCTGCCAGGATTTTATTTCTGTCCTCCTGGATTGGTATCATCATTGACTTTGACGCCTTCTCCGTTGCAAATATGTTCTTTAAAAGTTGGAAGGACTGCACTCATTTGTGGAATATAAAATAATGTAATATGAGACTGACACCCAAGGACAGTAGAGACAAGGGCCAGGAAGATTGCTCCATAGTTGGAAGCCTGTCTCCTGAGCTGGGGGAGAAGGCAGCTGGAATAGAGAAGGGATCACTAAGTCAGTGATGGTTGGAGGAATCATTTGGGATGTGCTGAAAGTAGATAAAGGACCAAAAGTGATAGCCTCTCAGTATCTATATTACCAACCATACTGCCCAAAGGTAGAGAGAGAGTATGGGGGAAATTGTCTGCCATAGAGGTACAGGGAGGGTATACTGGGGACATTGCTGGTAGAGAATGTGCACTGGTGAAGGAATGGGTGTTTGGTCATTGATTGAAACTCAAACATGAAAGCTTGTAACTATCTCATAGTGATTCGATTAAAAAATTAAAAAATATATATATAAAAAGTTGGTGGTTCACCCTCCTGCCCCTATGTTTCAGTGTCTCTAGTATTTACTGCTATCATTTTGTGTTTATTTTGTGCTTATTTCCAACTTTAGTTGATTTTATTCCACACTTAACCCAGGGCCTGGCACTAGTGGTTTGTAATAAGTGTTTATTGAACGAATACAGGATTCATCCTAAAAAAGTATTATAAGTTGAAGCTGGATGATAAATTCCCAGTAGTGAAATATTTGGGGCCACGAGGATTGATTTTTATCAAGGTAAAATTTTTAACAAATTTTACAATAAGGTAATTTTTAACAAAAAAAGTGCCTGTTTATTTAACATTTGCCTTGTGTATCACTCCTTGAAAGCTTCCAGGGCCTAAATCTACGGCTGTTGTTATTTCTGTCTTGTTTCTGATCCGCAAGATTGACTCTGAGATCGAAAGTACTTTCCCACTGACTTCCATTAAAAAACAAAACAAAACAGAGCAAATGTGACTCCTTCCAGAGAAAAAAGTCCTGGTGAAACGGTGTTCACCCTTTGCCCATGAGAGTTATGCTTCTCACCAGCTTTCTCTCTTTTTGAGGATGGCTGGAAGGCGCTCTGGGACTCAGAGGCAAATCTTTACTTGGGAGTGGGTCATGCAGTGATTTGTTCCTGATTTCCACAAGGTCCACAGGGCTCATGAATATCTGCTCCCAGTTTGTGCTCGCATAATCTGCTCGAGATGTAGGATTTACCATTCTCCTCTGAAACATCCATCACGCCTGCTTAATCTTATCTGATATTATTTGAGCCTCGAGGGCCTGAGTGGAAAAGGTGTTGTTTGTGCATTTGAAGAGGTGAATGTATTTTAAGAGGTGAAAGTCACTTGGCAGCCCCCTTACCCATCCACCGCCCTCTCCCCCACGCGGCTTTGTTTTGGTATCTATTTCTGCTTCTGCATGCTAAGCTTTGGCATGCATTCAGGAAACTCTCATGGAGGCATTTCTGGAGTGGCCTAAGAGAACATGGACTTCTCAACTGCTGGGCATGCTAAGGAGACAGCCTGTGCAAGTCATTCCCTGCCTTACCCATTCAGGCTGCTAGAACAAACTACGGTAGCATTGGTAGCTTCAACTATCAGGATTTCTTTCTCTTAGCTCCGGCGTCTAGGAAGTCTCTGATCAGATCCACATGCTATTGCTGAATTGTGAGGGCTTCTCCCTGGCTTATAGCTGTCTACCTTCCAGACATGTCCTCTGATGCCCTTTCTCCCACGTGTAATTGGAGAGAGACACACATCCCTTGCAGGTCTCCTCCTGGAAGGGCGCTAATCCCATCACCAGGGCTGGACCCTTCAGGACCTCCCTGCCTAGAGTTAGGGTTTCAGTATATGCCTCTGGTAGAGAGCACAATTCATCCTAGAACAGCCCCCGTGGGAAAATAATTCCATGACCATGTTCTTGTGATCAGTATAATAAAAATAAAAACAATTCCCTGTACTGCTCTTCCTTCTTGCCCCTCCCCCCCGAAGATCTGTATATTCAGTTCGGTTCCCGTATGGCTAAGCTAATGTTTTCCTTTAATAGCTCAAAGTCTTTTTGTAAGCAAATGAGAAATTAGAGAATGAATATGCAAATCTACCCAGGTTCCTAGGTATTGTGGCATGAGAAGGATTATGGAATTGTATGATTTTTTTTTAAAAGTCCCCCTCACCCTCCACCCCAACTCCCATAATGAAGCTTCGCACGTTTCCAGATTTGGTTCGGGAGTGTTCTTCATTTCTTACAGCGTGGCAGAGCTTTCTTTTCAATCAGAATATTTTTAGAAGATAGGAAATCATTCAACTTGAAAAGTTTAGAATTAACTGGTGAAGGCCTACTGAATTAGCGGAATTGTATTATGCTTTGAGTACACGGTGATGGAAAGTTTTAAGAAGCCTCTGGCTTAGAAGTATAATTTACCCATTACTGCTGTAAAGGTGTTTTCAAACACTCTCTTACTCAACGTACTTTAATGCTACTATCCTCCTTCCGGGCTAATTTGCTAAGTAATGATAACTGTTAATAGAATTTTGGTCTCAATTGCCATGAAGTTTTTAGTGTTGGGTCTAGATAAAGAAAGCCTTACATTAACAAATTGAGTTAATTGGGTGGAGGGAACTCCCAAGTCACATTCAGGAGACCTGGGCTTCTCCTGGCAACCCTTGGCCAGCCAGGCCAATGGTGCAGATCAATGATGCAATGCTACTCAAACCCACAGGGAGCCCTGGGTCATGCTGGCATTGCCAAGGGCTTCAAGGGGCATAGCAGGCGATAGTTGGGCACCTCTAGGATTGCACAAAGCACAGCTCAGGGGACTACATATGACAGGATGGTTGTGGTTCAGTGTATGCTGTGTGTGTGCCTTAACTTCTGTGCTAACTCCCAGCTGCTCGCTCCCATTTTAACTATTTGACTTTTATTTTTTCAATTGTTAGATAATTTATTTAATTCATTTTTAAATGTTATTTCAGGAGCTGTGCTTTACAGTATTGTTAATGGTTGGGTTTCATGCATTACACATCCCAGCACCGCACCCTCCCTGAGAGTGTCCACTTTGCCCTTTGTGTTCCCTGAGAGTGTTCACTTCACCCTTTCTGTTGCCTTCGGAGATTTGTTCTACCCCTGTTCTGTTTCTTTATATCCTGCCCATAAGAGAGACCTGTCCATCTCCTGACTCATTTAACACAACCTGATAATCTCCAGATTCATCCACATAGCAGTGAATCGCATAGTCTCATCTTTTCTTAAAGCTGGATAGTATTCCATGTGTATATGTTTCCTTATCCAGTCATGTTTTTGGAGACCAGCTATTTTCCATGTTTGGCTATTGTGAAAAGAGCTACAATAAGCATAGGAAAGCAAATATTTTTTCTGAATGGAGTTTTTGGGCCCTTGGGGTAGAGGTCAAGAAGTGGAATTGCTGGGTCAGGTGGAAACTCGATTTCTAGTTTGAGAAATGTCCATATTGTTTTCTAAGAGTGCTGGACCAGTTCGCATTTCCACTGACGGTGAATGAGGGTCCCTTTCCCCCACATCCCCGCCAACACTGGTTATTTTTGTTCTTCGTGATGTGTGCCAGTCTGACTGGTGTGAGATGATATCTCATTGTTGTTTTCATTTGCATTTTCCTGATGACAAGTGAGTCAGAGCTATCTCTTCATATACCTTTTTGGCCATCTGTATGTCTTCTGGGAGGAAGTTTCTATTCGTTTCTTTCCCCCCTCCCCTGTTCCCGCCCCTCCCTACTTTTAAATATGCAATTCTGTCAATGAATAAAGTACCCATAGATCTAATCTTTTAGTCAATGACTCAAATAAAAAAAATTTCAGCATTGTTTTTGCGTGTGTTTGTTTAGAGTTTTTTGGTAGGATCAACTCCAGTAAGTATTTGTACGTGTAAACTGAGAAGTAATTTAACTTCTTGGACTCACTTTCTTGATTCCAAATATGATTTGGAGGACTCCCCCCTGACCCTTGGCCCCTACGGTTCTTTCTGCCTGTAAGAAAAACTGAAGCCTTGGTCTTTTCCTTGCAGGAGAATGCAGTGAACGGAGAACACCTGTGGCTGGAGACCAACGTCTCGGGAGACCTGTGCTACCTGGGAGAGGAGAACTGCCAAGTCCGATTTGCTGTGAGTGTTCTCCCCCATCTGTCGGGGCGGGGAGGCAGGGGGTGGGAAGGCACCCGGAGCCTGAACGGTCAGGGCTTATCCCGCTGGAATTCCCAAAGAGAGGTTTGAGGAGGCCTAGAGTGTTGATCAAGTTAGCACGGTATTGTAGGGGTCAGTGTGAATACTCCCAGGCCTTGACCCTGAGGTCAAAGCTTGATTTGCTTGGCTGCTTTGGTTGTCATCCAGAATTCCATTGTGGTTCTGGAGTGGGCAAGTCTGCTGAAGGCAGGTGTGTGTATGTGATGGGGAGGGTGTGTGTGTGTGTGTGTGTGTGTGTGTGTGTGTGTGTGGTGGGGGTTGGGGGGAAGGTATGACTCACTGTTAGCGGAATGTGTGTGGTGCAGGTGTTGCCCAAGTTTGAAGGTGGGCCTGGAACGAGACACTCATCTGACGTGATGAGTGGAGGCTGGCCCAGCGTTTCTCAGCGTTTCTCACTGTCTCCTGTGGGCCCCAGGATATTTGGATGGGGAGGTGAAAATCACGCAAACAGAGACCACAGCAGAAGACTAACGAGCCAAATGGCAAGACAGGGACAACAGAGGAAAGCAACAAAGTCAGAAAGGGCCTGAGAGGCCAGAGCAGTAGCACAGTGGCAGGACATTTGCCTTGCACAAGGCTGAGACCCGATTTGATTTGATCCTGGTCCTGCTATACAGTCCTCCAAGCACCACCAGGAGTGAGTCCTGAGTGTAGAACCAGGAGCAAACCCCGAGCATTGCCAGGCATGACCTCCCAAAGCAAAATCAAAGCAAAGCAACCAACAAAAACCAGAAGGGGCCTGATGTTGGGAAAAGGTTGAGAAACACGGGGCTCGCCCACAACTCAAGCCTGAAAGCATGAAGTTCTAGAAACTGCAGGCTCAGTCAGCAGTCAGTCTGTCCGAGACTCTGGTGCTGCCTTTGATTTTCAAATGTACTTGGTGTCCCTAACAAGCTATTTAAATGTTAGAACCTTCTTTGTGTTCTGTGAACAAGAGGTAGCCAGGAGGTAGGTTGTGAGTTACTGAAGTTTTAGAGAAAGAGAGAATGTTTTTGTGTAGTTGATTCATTTGAGCTTGAAAGAAATCACAGGAATCAGCATTGTAAAGAAAAGGGGGGATGGGGGAGGGAGAAAATAAATTCCTTTCTACTGGGAGGTGTGGGGATCATAATGACATTGGTTTATTGCCTTCATTATGTTATTATGTGAACGATTTTTTATTTTCATAGTGCTTTGGATTTTCAAGGAAATGTGTTTCTATTGATAACTAGTGAGAAGAAAATTGAGTTTCTGATGGAGCTTCTAGGAGAATCACCCTCACCCCTTCCCCTCATCCCAACATGCAGATACACAGGGACAGCATCAGGCAGTCTGAGATGGCACAGCTGGGGTACCAGACCTTGAAAGCAACGTTGGCTGTTGTGTTGACTGTTTTATTGTTTTGTTTGGAAGTTTGAGAGGTCCTGGGTTTGTCGAGGCCAAGTTGGGAATAGTTAAATGTTATTGAAAGATCTGGCTGAATAGTCTCTCGATTTAGTCAGGAAACCTGAATTTGTCTTTGCAGAATGCTAAGAACTTCTGACTTTTGGTTTTTGGCCATCTTCTCAGTTGAAGAAGAGAGGAGGGTACAACTATTTGAAAACTGTGCTCCTAACTCAGATTGACCTTTAATAGTTTGCATTTCTTTGAATCTTGTTGTACATTCAATTGATTTAAATATAAGGATTTCAGCCTTATGCATATGCATTTTTTAATTAAAGTATAATTGCATGGCATTTGATTAAATTAACCAAAACCAAGAGAAGCTCAGCTGTTTGGACTAACAGGCTATAAATAATGAATTAACGTTAGGATCTGAATTAATTGCATAAACACTGGTCTGGGGATATCAGATAACAGAAAAGGGGAAAAAAAGAAAAAGAAAACCTAGCTGATTTGCATATCTGCATATGAGCTCCTTCCTCTGCACCTGACTCTCCAGGGCTGTGGCCTGTGAGGGCGGTGTCCCTCCTTTCCAGCCCCGCCCCGGGAACCTTTTCTGCTGTTCCTGGGGGGCCTGTCCTTTGCTTTCTCTTGGCAAAAATGCAAACAGATGTAGACATCCCCCTTAAGCCTAATATGGTTAAATAGCACTGCTCTGTACTAACTGATTGTAACTTGGTCACTATTACTGCGAGACCAGGAAAAAGAAGAAGCAAAGACATTTGAAGGAGACCTCGGAAGTCATAGTCATGGAAATTCCCCGTGCTCCCCACCATCCTCCTGTCCCGCATGTTCCCTGGGAGCTAAGAAAGCACTTTCACCATCAGCTCTGTCCAGGGAAGGGGAAAGGGGTGGGGTGAAACAGCACAGGTGCAGGGGACTCTGGAGACTGTTCCCAGAGGGTGCTGACCTGCAGTTGGTTTAGACTCTTCTTGACCCTTTCCCTGCAGACAGCTGCCCTAATGGATTTGGCTCCGAAGCAAAGGAGTGGCTCCACCAGCAAAGACAGGCCTCTCTCTCCTCACCCTCGCCTAGCAGAGCAAAGGCATGGCAGGGAAAGAACATAAGAAAAGGGGCAGTCAGTGTGGGCGGAGGGAGACAGGGATGTCTTCATGGAAATGGGGCAGAGTTTCCTTGTGAGAGACGGGTGAGATTTCCATAAGTGGACCTGGGGAAGGAGAAGTGATAGAGAGAGAGAGAGAGAGAGAGAGAGAGAGAGAGAGAGAGAGAGAGAGAGAGAGAGACAGAGACAGAGAAGCCAAAGGGAAATGTCACTGTGGGGAGAACTCTAGAGACAGAGAGAGAGAGAGAGAGAGAGAGAGAGAGAGAGAGAGAGAGAGAGAGAAGAGGAAAGGGGGAAAGAAGGAAAAGAGTTAGAGAGAGGGAGAGAGAAAGAGAGAGACAGGGACACAGAGAGAGAGAGTGCAAGTGAGCGAGCTCAGGAAGAAGCTGGGAATCCAGAATAAGCCTGGGCAGGGGTGGAGGCAGCTGTGAGACCAGCCTGAGCTGTGCAGGGCTGCGAGTTTGGTGCGAAGGGAAACCAGGCGGGTGGGGCCATGCACGTGAGCTGCTGTCTGAACCCGGAGCGCGTGTCCCTAGATCCGTGTCCTTCCGTCGGTGGCCCTAGTGTGGACGGCCTTCAGATCATTTTGAGGGTGAAAGTGACCGTTGGTAAATGCTGTTTAATGCTGTTTAAGGCCGCTTAATGTGTCTAATGGCACAGCATGAAGGGCAAATAGACCCACGCCGGGGAAGCCATCACTTTGAGGGACATTCCCCATAGTCAATTAAAAACCAGAATTTGCCACAAGCCCAGGACCTTCTGCTGCCTGTGGGGCTCATACTGGGGGACGTCGTGGGCCCAGACTGTCCCTCACAACCCGCTGAGCATGGCTTCTCCCCAGCCTGTCATCCCACTTACAGAGTACACGTCTCATGGCTGCCTGGACACCTGCAGGGGAAGAGGTCGCTGGGCCGCAGGAGGAAAGGAACTTGCTGCCACCAGTCTGGCTTTGCCAACACACCGCTGTTCTGGTTCCAGAACACATGACCCTTGGATCCTCTCCTTCCTTCTGCCTTCTTTCCCCACAGTGCAAAGCTGACCTTAAGATGGACCCCAGTGATGCTTATTTTTGGCTGAGCAGTATAGTCACTGGTGGGATCTAACCTTTTCATTTAATTAAAAACATTTTTGAATGTCACTTCATTTTTTTTTTTTGGTGGTGGGAGGGTGCTCAGAGATAGGAGTTGTACCCAGCGAAGCTTGGGAGGTACGGGGCCATGCCCAGTAGTGCCTGGCTCACCAGTGTAGGGCCTGCTGGCTCAGTGAATGGCCTGGTAGTATTGGAACCACAAGGCCTGCATCAGTGGTAAGGGAGGGGTCCATGTGGTGATGGAGAGCAAACATGTAAACTTGTGATCTACCATTCTGAGCCCAAACCCTGGAACCCTACCTTAAAAAGTGCTTTTTTAATTGATTGAGAGTCTGTGACTTTCAAGACTGTTAATAACGATTTATCATACACATAAGCAACCACTGTATCCATCACCAGCGTATCATCTCCATCTCCCTAACTCCTCTCCTCCCTTTAATCCACCCCCGTCTTAAAAGCAACAAACCTCAATTGTGTGGATCAGTTCTACTGTTACGTTGTCCTTGGATCTTTATTGCGACTTTGCTTTGTATCTCCAAGTCCCAGAGGGGAGCGAGATCGTTCTATGTTCAACCCTTTCTTTCTGACTGACTTTTCTCAGTGGAACATCATTTAGTTCCCTCCAGGTTTCTGTGCACTGCATGATTTAGTTCTTATTTTTTTTTTTGCAATTTGTATGCATTTTTTCCATAAAGTAGTTCACAATAGTTCATTACAGATAATATTCAAACACCCACCCCACCAGCGAGCATCTTCCCACCACAATAAGAGGGAAGTGTGTGAAGATTTTTGTCTTTCATTCTAGACCTGTTTAAGCCCATATACAAGAGAATACAAGCTAGTATGTTAGAACCAAACAAATGTGTGCTACTTTAGGTACATCAGTGGGCTAGAGTATAAGAGGTCACAGTCGCGTGCTCCAGGAAATGCTGCATCTCTCTTTTCTGGAAGCTTTATTTTGTGGTCTCTGGATTTTAGCCTCTGTTGAGATTATATGACGCCAGGATCAGTTCGTGGGTGTGACTGCCAAGCTACTGGAAAACTGGGGAGCTGGGTGGAGGAGGCCCAGTCCTGATCCAAGGAGGCTTGGAGATCTCAGCCATGGTTCCCGCATACCTGGGTTCCTCTGCCGGTTCCTTCATGGGTGAGGCTCATCTAAGCGTGTGGAGAGTGGCCTTGAGTATGGCTGCAGCTGGGTTCAGGAGGTTTTTGGCTGCCAGGATTCTGCTTGGGGTGGGGAGGTAAACTCAACCCACCCACCTCTCAGAGGATTTAGTTATTAGAGCTTCATAGTATTCTCTTGTGTACACACATCACAACTTCTTGACCCACTCAGCCATAAGTGAG